TAGCCGCAGTCGACATTTCTATGAATAAAATGAATAATTATCGCAATTTCGATCTTTTTCTTCCCTGGTTGGCTTCTCAGGGGTTATACAAATCTCTGAAAAAATTGACGATTTTTAAAAAAAAATTTTCGTACGTTTGCTAGCGGTTCAAAGTTTGCCGACTTTTACGGACCCTGAAAATCGGGGGGTTTTTCGGCTTCTCACAGCGATTATAAATAAACTAATCAAATTAAAAACTTGAAACTCCGTATTGGGCAAGCGAAATACTTATATTACACAGTGTATTTGGTCTCATATTTTTACGATTTTTTTTCACTGAGTTATAGACGTTTATTTCGAGTGGTCTCTACTTTTGACACCGACAGTAATCATGTTTTTACCAAATTTCTCCTGAAATAAATTCACATCAGACAAATCATATAACAATATCTATCAAAAGAAACTAGAACTGAAGATTCAATTTGAGTAGAGTCATATAGGCAGGGATCATACACAAGCCACCTGTATATAAACCACTATTTTTCTACGTGTAAATATTTATTATTGTGATCAATAAAAAAATTTTGAGGCCATTTCTTCGGGTGACGTAGATGACACCATTATTACCAGGGTTGGGCGAATAAATTACGTTGGTAAAGTACACCGTGTTTACCGACGTAATGTACGTAAATTACCTCGACGGGTTTTTTACATTTTTTACATTACTTCGGACAGCTTGCAATTTTCGGTTACTACAACATTTTAATTTCATTTCATTCCGACAGATGAAGACGCAGCATTGAACGTATAAATATCATGAAAGATAGTATATTATGTCCCGAGGACAGATAAACTGCGAATTTTAACTTCATTTTGTGCGGCTAGAACGCGGTTTTACGGGCCTAGGGGCATAAAATAATATTTTATGCCCCTAGGCTCGTAAAACCACGATTCTAACGTGGATTCCCTCGGTTAAGTCGCGGTTTCCGGGCCCAGAGACATAAAATATTGTATATCACACGGCGATCAAACGATTTTCTGTCTCACGTGATAAAAATCCTGGTTTTCGGCTCGGATTATGAAGCTACATTCGTCAGGAAATACTTTCATCGCCTGGTGACATAATGTACCATTACATCACGTGGTACGATCTACGGCATTTTAAGAAACTCAAAAACATGAGTCTCATGTCTCATGAAGAGTAAATTTCACACGGGTCAAACGTTGCAAAAGACCAAAGTCACAAGTCATCTCCATTGTGGGAAAGTCAATCTCATTATTTATTGAGCTTTATTGGATTCTCCACTTTATTATTTGGAGCAACCGGAAAGGCCAGTCGAGCTTGAAAAGATCCATTTTATTCTGAAGAGTTGAAAAAATCTACCAAAGACAATTGAATTTGTTTTGTCATTTAAGAATGCTGAATGAAACAAGTTAATGTCAAGACAAACGATGATTACGCGACGAATTCAATAGAGATCAATAAATAATGAGATTGAGCCTTGTAAAATTCATCCCTTACATGGTATGACCCTTGTGAGGTGTGACCCTCGAGACCTATGATCCTGGCGAGGTACACACAGAAAAACGTAAACGTAAATTACGTTTAACGTCAATAAGGTGATTTTTTTTCCGTCATGAAAATCGGAATATAGGCTTTAAAAAAGCGTAAATTATGCCTACAATGGTAAAAAAAATGAAATTTCATGAACAGTTGACTACCAATTTTCAGAACAGTGACACTGAATGCGATTTAGGGGGAAAAAAATTATGAAATTTCAGGTTTCACTGAAAATTCAGTAAAATTCCACAATTTTAAGGGGCA